TAAAATTGCATGCATCATACATACAGGGGAGTACAACTGGGGGAATCAATGTGGAGAAGGATCTGGGGATTCGGGTAGATCACAAATTTAAATTTATGGCATGCAATGCCAAGTTTGGCGGTTTCTAAAGCGACAAAATCCTCTCTGTATTAAAAGAGATATAGACTCCAGCGAGAGAGATATCATTTCCCCGCTACAATTCATTAGTAAGACCTCCTTCTGCGAAATAATGCAGTTTCAAGTTTTGCCGGCACCAATTCACTAAAGGAAACATTGGGGAAATCTGGGAGAAGAGAGTACAGGAGAAGGGCCAACCATACACTGATTAGAGGCCTGGAGTGATGCTCAGCGATTTTATCCATTAACATTACAGATTTTTCCAAGCCCCTTAGACTTTACCTTACACATTAGCCGTGTTGGCTTGTGTGTTGGGGTAACTGGTGTCAAAAGACTTTTGCAAAAAATCCAAAGATAAACCACGTTCCACCACGCCACCCCTCTGTCATAGTGTACCAGGTCCACACCGCCCACCCCTGTGTCGCCAAGTATAACCATGTCTACTGGCCACCCCATCTGTCCAAAGTATACAATTATCACACCGCCACCACCCACCCCCTCTGTCCATGTTTTCCACGTCCACCGCCACCCCCCTCTGTCCAAGTATACCAAACGGGGTCCACCGCCCACCCCTCTGTCCCCAAGTATACCACGTCCACCTGCCAACCCCACTCTGTCCAAGCATATACAACGTCCACGCGCCACCGTACCTCTGTCCAAGTATACCATGTCCACCGCCACCCCCTCTGTCCAAGTATACCATGTCCACTGCCACCCCTCTGTCCAAGTATACCACGTCCACCACCACCCATGTGTCCAAGTATACCATGTCCACCACCACCACCTCTGTCAAGTATAACCATGTCCACCGCCATTCCTCTGTCCAAGTATACCACGTCTACCACGCCACCCCTCTGTCCAAGTATACCGTTTACCACCACCCCTCTGTCCAAATATACCATTGTCCACAAGCACCCTCTCTGTCCAGTATACCATGATCCCACAGCCACCCTTCTGTCCAAGTATACCATGTCCACCGCCACCTCATCTCTGTCCAAGTATTACCATGTCCACAGCCACCCGGTTTCTGTCCAAGTATTACCATGTCCACAGCACACCTCTCTGTCCAAGTATAACCATGTCCACTGAGCCACCCTTCTGTCCAAGTATAGCCATGTCCACAGCCACCTCTCTGTCCAAGTATACTCATGTCCACAGCCACCCTTCTGTCCAATACAAGTGGGGATCGAAAGTTTAAGCACCCCAGCTAAAAATTTGTATTAATGTGCATAAAGAAGCCAAGGAAAGATGGAAAAATCTCCAAAAGGTATCAAACTACAGATTAGACATTCTTATAATCTGTCAACAAAAGTTAGATTTTATTCCATCATTTACACTTTCAAAATAACAGAAAACAAAAAAATGGGTCTGCAAAAGTTTGGGCACCCTGCAGAGTTAATATCTTGTACTGCCCCCCTTTGGCAAGTATCACAGCTTGCTAAACGCTTTTTGTAGCCAGCCAAGAGTCTTTCTATTCTCTGTTTGAGGTATCTTTGCCCATTCTTCCTTACAAAAGTCTTCCAGTTCTTTGAGATTTCTCGGGCTGTCTGTCACGACACTGCGCTTTTAAGGTCTATCCATAGATTTTCAATTATGTTGAGGTCAGAGATTGTGAAGGCCATGGCAAAACCTTCCAGTTTAAACGCCTCTTGATGTAATCCCCCCGTGGATTCGACGGTGTGTTTAGGATCATTAGCCATTTGTAGAAGCCATCCTCTCTTTAACTTCAGCTTTTTCACGGATGGCATCAAGTTACCATCCAAAATTTGCTGAAAATTTTATTGAATCCATCTTTTTCCTTATACTACGTGAGATGTTTCCCTGTGCCACTGGCTGCAACACAACCCCAAAGCATGACGTGATCCAACCCCATGCTTAACAGCTGGACAGAGGTTTTTCATTCAATTCTGTGCCCCTATCTCCAAACATAGCCTTTCTGCTCATTCGGCCAAAAAAGTTCAATTTTACCACCTCATCGGCCAACAAGAACTGTGTTTGCAAAATGCAGCAGGGCTTGTCTTATGTTATTTGGCAAAGTTCAAACGGAGGATTTTTTGTGCTGAGGTCGTAGACAGAGGATTTTTTCTGATGACATTCTTCCATGAAGACCATATTTGTACAAGTATCTCTTTTATAGTGGAATAGTGTGTACCACATACTCCAGTGTCTGCCAGATCTTTCTCGGATGGGATCGTGCAGTCAAAACGTTGGGGTTTTGAATTGTTTTTTCTCCACTAATCCTGCGAGCTGTTCTGTCTGATATTTTTCTTGGTCTTGCAGATCTTGCTTCCACTGTCCTCGAAAAGACTGACATTTCCTAATTACATTCCGAACAGAGGATTATTAGACATCTGAAAACGCTTTGCTATCTTTCTTATAGCCTTCTGCCAGCTTTGTGAGCGTCAAACTATTTTCAGTTTCTTTTTTTCTAGAACAACTGCTATAGAAGAACCCATGTGTAGGATGTAGGCCCAAGTTGGGGCAAGGTCCAGATGAGTCTGGGCATTTAAAACCTTTGAGCTTTGACATCACCTGGTCTTCTCCCTAGACGATGAGAACCCAGAACAATCCATGACACTGGCAAGGTCTCAGCTTTGCAAAGGGGGCAGTGCATGCTAGAAAATTCTGCAGCGCGTGCCCAAACTTTTTGCAGACGCCAATTTTTTGGGTTTTTCTGTTAGGATTTTGAAAGTGTTAAATGATGGAAATAAAATCTAACTTTGTGTTGCAACATATTATAAGAATGTCTAATCTGTAATTTGATGCCTTTTTGAGATTAGGAATTTTCCATCTTTCCGTTTGGGGGCTTTTTTATGCACATTAATACAAATTTTTAGCTGGGGTGCCCAAACTTTCGATCCCCACTGTATACCATGTTCACAGCCACCTCTCTGCCCCCCCCCCCCCCAAGATTATACCATGTCCACAGTCCAGCCCTCTGTCCCAAGTAGGGGACCATGTCCACAAAGCCCCCTCTTTCCCCTCACCTTCATCATAAAAATTAAATTCAGATTGTTTGACTGGTAGCTGTTTATAAGGTGGTATGAGGTGCTGACCATACTTAGTGTTCTGATCTGTAACATGCATTAACCAGTTATCATGTGTGACATATACTTTCTCGACAACTGAATTCCACACTAGGTTCACAATTATCTGAAATGTTTTGAAAACGGATTTTCGGATTGACAAAATTAGGTTGAATTAGATTGTGATAGGCTGCCCAACAGTTCATTACTCTGGGCTCTGTCCTAACATTCTCCTGTTTTTGCAACCCTGTACGTGCGACATTTTTTTTTTCACTTGCCAATTGCACTTGAGCTGGTAAAGTTTTTTTCAAACTAGGTCAAACTTACCACAGGTAGAAAAGAGCTGACACACACCAATGGCATTGCTAATACTCGGAGTTCATTTCCTGAACCCAACAACCACAATCCGGATGCCATGGGGAAGTCCACCCCCTGGGGGCCAATTCATAGGACTCTGTGATTATAAGGCCGATTGGGTGAATGCATTAGAGAGAGTTAGCGGTCCTAGGCCATTGCAGCCGATTGAACGTTGCTTCAACAAAAAATAAACTAGGGTTCTATTGAGACCTTCGTTGCGTGGCTGTCTATTCATTCCTACATCAAGTTGCAAGCAATGGACGGCTAAGTTCAATTCCCAGCCACCCCAATCAGAGTGGTAGCGGGCAAGGTGCAGCTTAGAGCAGACAGGAATGTTTATGTCATTCAAACGTCGACTAGTTTGGGCTTCTTTGGTTCATTTACATTACGTGGTTTTTAAAAGAAGTGTCTGACATTCGATGTGTTGAACTCAAAAATCAAACTGCTGGGACTCTTGCATCTTAGTTTATAATACTCTATCCTTGGAACATGAAAATGGTTGTATACATATGATCGGGCTTATTCAATAACGCAGGATGGGAATTTAATACCGTTCCATCCAGAGGGGTTGCGGATGAATAGCATGGTGTTGTGACCCTTTCATTTTTTTTATCATTCAAGTGTGGTGCAGGAGGTGTTAAAGTTGAGATAAAGAGTATATAGAACCTCCAATGGAAGAGCCATCTAACACTGGGAGCCTTTGTTTAGAGGAAGGGAGTTAAGAGATTTTGTTAGCTCACCTGGATCTAAGTCCCCCCAGAGGTGATTGGGTTTACATCTACTTTAACCAATTCAATACCGGGCTATTTTACCCATTCCTGCCCCATGACAGTTTTTCAGGGTTTCAGGCGCTCTCCAACACACTGTTGAATGACAATTGCGCGGTCACTACAAACATTGTACCCAAACACTATAAAATGTTATTCATTTTCTTCACCACAACTAGAGTTTTCCTTTTTTCTTTCTTTTGATGGTAATTTAATCATCGCTTGGGGTTTTTATTTTTTGCTAAATTAACAAAAAAGAAAGGACCAAAAATTTTGAAAAAAAAAAAAAAACAAAATTTTTTATTTTGTTTCTGTTATAAAAGTTTTTGCAAATAAAATAATTGTTCTCTTACATAAATTTAGGCGAGATGTATTCTGCCTACATGTCTTTGGTGAAAATAAATAATCCCAAATTAGGTATGTATTTCTTTAGTTTGTAGGAAGGTTATCAGAGTTTCACAAACTATGTATAGATTTCTGATTATTGAATCAATCCTGAAGTGAATTGACAGCCCAATCTAATTTTTCCTTGAAGGTCCTAAGGATGGTCCAGAACACGTACAGATATCGCCAAATGTCAGAATTAGTACAGTATCCCCCAAAATGACCACTTTTTATGTATTTTATTTATTTATTTTATCGAGTTTATTATAGCGCCAAGGGTTTTGCTCAGCGCTGTACAATAGGGTGGGAACAATACATGAAAACAGAAACAGTAACCATCAAAACAGTACACAAGGGGTGTTAGAGTGGCCCTACTCTTATCGAGATTACAATTAGGAGAGAGGGAGGGGGTAAGAGCACACAGGAGGAAGCAGCTGTGGGTGGATTGAGTGGTATAGGAGGAGGAAGGGGCAAGCGGACGCTGGTTAGGTGGATGGGTGGGGTAGGCATTCCCCTGAAGAGGTGGGGTTTTCCAGGGAAGCCTGAAAACAAAAAAAAAAGTTTGAGGGAAGGGTACGGTGAACAGTCTGATGGGATCTGGGGTAGTGAGAGTATCCAGAGGGATGGGGGAAGACCTGGAGGAAGTCTTTGCAGTCGTGGCGGTGGGAGGAGGAAGACCAGGGAGCAAGATAGAAGAAGGGTCCTGTGATGAGCGGAAGGTGTACGGGTAGAGGTGGTAAACCTGGGGATTCAGATTCGGTGAGAGTAGTTTAGGGGCTGTGTTATTGTGTAATGGCACCATTATAGGTCAGGCGATGAGCAATCTTCGACATTTAATGCGTTGTGGCAATGGGGAAGCACTGTGCCCCCCCTAACCCCCCCATGGATTGAGAGAGGCAGAGGGGAGGTGGCAAGTGGGTGAGCGGCTGGTGGAGGTGGTTTGAGTCCCTGGCCGCTGAGTTCAGGATGTCCGCAGCGGGGAGACGCCTGCACAGGGGTAGGCCGGTGAGGAGGGATTGCATATCCAGCGTGAGATAATCAGGGAGTGTACTAGTAGTTTTAGTGGTGTCTTGGGGTAAGGAAGGAACTGTATCCTGGCGATGTTTTCCGGAGGGAGCCTGCATGTGTTTGTTAGAGATTTGATAGAGTTGAAAGGAAATGTTTGAGTCCAGAATGACCGCCAAGGCCTTGCTTGCTGGGCGGTATTGAATGGTGTTGTTTGTTTGGTAATTGTTGACGATTGTAGCTTGATTGGTGGGGTGGGCGCGGGATGGTTGGGTTAGATGAGAAGTTTGGTTTTTAGGGATTAGGGTGTGTTGCGTTTTGTGAAAGTTGAACGACATCCAGTCA